CGGGCAGCTCGCCCCATAGCGTCGCAGTCCCCGGTCAGTCTGTGGGTTCGTCCGTTGGACGCGGGGGCCGAGGGCGAGCAGGGGATCTCGGCCGTTGGGATTTCAGCCGCGTTACTGCAAGGTGTAGGACAGAGATTCCCGCGCCCTGCAGCGCCGGTGAGGCTGAGGCGCTTCGGGGAAGCTCAGGCTACGGGACACGGCTGTGCTGGGGCCGCGTTGCCCTCCCGTGCGCTTCTTGTGGGCCACGGGGTTTGCTGCTCCTCATTTTTAAAAAAGCAGATATGAGAAGGAATAAAAAATATGCTATATAAGCTGGTTAAAAAGAAAATTGCAACAGTATTTGAAAGACTGGTCATCATTATTACCATCATTGAGAGCTGTTGAGAGTCCCCTTCCTCTTTGCACTGCGGAGGTGGCAGGCTCTGGCTGCAGCGGCTCCGAGGAGCCGTGGGGCGCTTGCCATGGCTGTGCCCATTGCTGTCCTTGACTGCGACCTCCTGCTCTACGGCCGTGGACATCGGACGCTGGATCGCTTCAAGCTGGACGATGTCACAGATGAGTATCTAGTGTCCACGTACGGCTTTCCCCGACAGTTCATTTACTACCTGGTGGATCTCCTGGGAGCCAGCCTGTGTCGGCCCACGCAGCGCTCCAGGGCCATCAGTCCGGAGACGCAGATACTTGCTGCCTTGGGCTTCTATACCTCGGGCTCCTTCCAGACTCGCATGGGCGATGCCATTGGCATTAGCCAAGCCTCCATGAGCCGCTGTGTTGCCAACGTCACCGAGGCATTGGTGGAAAGAGCCCCCCAGTTCATTCACTTTCCCGAGGATGAGGCTGCGGTACAGAGCCTGAAGGATGACTTCTACGGGCTGGCAGGCATGCCAGGAGTGCTAGGGGTGGTCGACTGCACTCACGTGGCAATCAAAGCACCAAACGCAGAGGACCTGTCCTATGTGAACCGGAAGGGTCTCCATTCTCTCAACTGTCTGATGGTGTGTGATGCCAGAGGAGTCCTGCTGAGTGCAGAAACACACTGGCCAGGCAGCCTGCCTGACTGCACTGTGCTACAGCAGGCAGCCCTTACAAGCCAGTTTGAAAGTGAGCTACATAAAGATGGTTGGCTACTTGGTAAGTCAATTTTCCATTGGTTTTCACGAGAATCTTTTAGATGTTGGCTTATCACTGAGTCTAGAGCATCGGGGCTCAAGTGATTAGTTTCTAATTGTTTTTCTGCAGATTCTTTGAAATCTGAGATTGTTGGGACCATTCTTCCCTTAGAAAGCTAGAACAAAATCTTTTATATATATATATATATATATAAAAAAAGTCCATTTACTGTATATATTATATACCTTCTGGTAATCTTTTGTTTTCAGTATTTTGCATCTTTCTGAATTATGCAGTTTTAAATTCTACATACAATTCTTGCCCATTTGTCATAGTTTCAATTTTGTGAGTTTTCTTAAACTCTTCTTCTATATTCCTTAGGATTTCTTTGTGTAGAATGTCTCATTTTTTCCCACGCTTGTAAACCTTAAGTTATTGTTTCTTTTTCATGTTTTCTTATGTGTTCTGTTTTAGCCCCTAAATAGATATTCTATTATATAACTATTATCATTAGCTGTAGCTATTATGTCTTACATTAGATATATCTTCAGTTACAGAAAACTGAGGCTAAAGAGTTGAAAGTCACTGTAGGTTTCTAATCTCTCCTGCCTGTCGCTGCTAACAGGTGACAGCTCCTTCTTCCTCCAAACCTGGTTGATGACCCCTCTGCATATCCCCGAGACTCCTGCAGAGTATCGTTACAACATGGCTCATTCTGCCACTCACAACGTCATCGAGCGGACGTTCAGGACCATTCGCTCGCGTTTCCGCTGCCTGGATGGGTCCAAAGGCACCCTGCAATATTCTCCAGAGAAATCCAGCCACATAATTCTGGCCTGCTGTGTGCTTCATAACATCTCCCTGGAGCACGGGCTGGACGTATGGTCTTCTCCAGCCACAGGACACTTGGAGCAACCAGAAGAAGACTACGAGCAAATGGAATCAATGGACTCAGAAGCCTGTCGTATACGCCAGGAGCTTTTGCTTACTCATTTTAGTTGAGTTTGTGACAGCTTCTAAAGGCTGATGTGAGAAGAATACAGGGCAGATATCTTCCTCCTCTGTGAGTTCATTAAGACTGAGCAGTTGGGAGACGGGAAGAAATTTGACCGACTTTTGATTTTGAGGCAGGAGGGGTATTCTGAACTTTTGTTGATCTCTCTGTAAATGTCATATATAGTTGTTAATATTTCACTGTTGTGATGGATATCTTCTTTCACCTATTGTAGGGAACAGTGACAGTTATGTGAGAGTAGAGGAGAAACTTGGGAAATGGTCTTTGATTAAAAAAAAAGAAAAATCTATAAGGTTTGAACTATTTTACAAAGCACACTTCTATGCCAGTTTGTAAGATAAACATTTATTTTTAAACATTTCACAAAAAATAAACTGCCTTTGGGGCTCCAGTCTACTCTCAATTTATAAACAGCAGCATACAAAAAACACTCCTCATTTGGCTTGCAGATACAAGTTCTTACTAAATTCCCTCAGTGGTTTTGCATACCTCCTAAAACACAGTGATTGCTGTGAATGTTGTTGCTTGTGTTCTGGGAGGAGTTGGGCTTTTCTAGTATATTCACATTAATATATGCACATATCTAAAAGGTAAAGAAGGGCTGAATGTTTCGTATTTCCCAAGTTTGAGAAGATGTTTAGCCTCATTGGCACAGCTTATGGTTGGCTGTGTTTGTTACTTAATGTATATTAGGAAACAGGCTAATGAATTTAAGTCTAGTTCTCACTAGATGTCTACCACAACAGAAACTGTCATCTTGTTATGCTCAAAGAAATGTGAAGGATTGACTGGATGACAAAAATTGAACTGGTTGCATAAGTAAGTTCTCTATTTGGATCAGAGCTGAGGAATGGGAAGGCTACTCTGATGTTGCTGGCAATGTCCCTATTCAGTGGAAAAAAGTCTCTAATGCACACAGTTGTTGCTGGCACAAGACTGAAGTGTCCTGGCAATGCTCTCTTTCCAAAGAATACACTCATTTCCAAGGATATCGCTTGGCAGCACCCTGAGATTATTTTGCTTCTTGGAGATTTTATTGTTTACTGAGAAGGAAATGTAACATCCAAGTGTCAAGGCATTGAGAGTTCTGCAGAAGAAGACGAGAGGAAAAGGAGGGGGGAGGAAAAAAAGAAAATAGGATGCCATAAAGGCAGCA